GTTTTGGAATGTGATGCCACGAGCAATGAAACGAAGCCCGTCTATGCCTAATTTCGACCCAAAAAAATAAAAATGACACATATTTTAGAAACTTAGCTAATAAAAAGAACAGTAACATTACCATTAGGGTTTTAATCATATTTTCAATCCCGAATTATAGCACGTCAAATCTAATTTTGGTTCATCATGGATATTTTAAAACGTCTAAAACCGAGTCTTCCATTATGAAATTGCCCAAAATAAGTTCTTCCATTCATACACTTATCATATAAATTTTATTGAAATCTTAACAAGAAAATGCAGGCGAAGATGTACTTTTGTTTAATAGTAGGATTGATAGAATGATATCCTAATATAAACCATTTAACAGTTTAAGGACTCATTTTGAAACGTTATAAAAATTAGAGACCAGAATGAAATTTATGTAGCTATGATTTCAAGACCGAAAATGATTTAACCTTTACAGCTATCTATTCTTAGACTTACAGATTAGTGTTACGCTGGAGTGTTGTAGGGCATGTTCCTTTATCTAAAAAACTCAAAAAAAAAACAACTTAAGTTTCAACTTTATTCAAGTTCACGTTCTTTTAAATTTCAACTTTATTCAATTTTATTCAACTTTATTCAAGTTCTAACTTCAACTCAAGTTATAACTCAAATTCAATTCAAAAATTACACTCAAGTTATACTCCAAAAGAACAATCCCCAAGTTTTCCCTTTAACTTGAGTTCAGAAACTTATAAAAATTAGAGACCAGAATGAAATTTATGTAGCTATGATTTCAAGACCGAAAATGATTTAACCTTTACGGCTATCTATTCTTAGACTTACAGATTAGTGTTACGCTGGAGTGTTGTAGTTTTTCATGAATTTTTTTTTTTAACGTTAAAAAATGAGTATATGTAATGATGGTGAATTTGCGTCATTAGCAATAAAAGTCGTTTTCTCAAAATATAAGCTAGAAGTACTTTTTTAAAAACAAAAAAAAAAAAAAAAAATTTTCAATTAGATAGCAAGTTACAGTCCAAAAGAACAACCCCATAGTTTTTCATGAATTTTTTTTTTTAACGTTAAAAAATGAGTATATGTAATGATGGTGAATTTGCGTCATTAGCAATAAAAGTCGTTTTCTCAAAATATAAGCTAGAAGTACTTTTTTAAAAACCAAAAAAAAAAAAAAAGAATTTCAATTAGATAGTGCGTAAATATCTTATGGGGTTTAGCAGATTCACGTGACAAAATGTGAGCTTCACACCAAAGGCAAGTATGTCTAATGTTTTTTTCCGCCTGATTAAAAAGTGCTTTCATAGCGCTACAAAAAGTTAGGCACAATTGTTAACAATACAGCACTAACGTAAAAACATAGAGAGAGAAAGAGAGAGAAGAAAAGAGGAGAGAGAAAGATCAAGTACCGGCGGTTGCAGAGCTGTATGTGGTGTAACCTGCCTTGACACTCCGACCGCTGGTGATGATCGTGTATCTCAAGCCATCGCCGACGAGCATGATATTTCTATTACCAACTCCAACCTCAATATTCTCCCTATAAACACCTCTCTTAACGTGAATCACAAATCTGCTATGGATTCTCCTCCTCGCCGCCCTGTTTATCGCCTCTTGGACCGACCGGAAATGCCCCGAACCGTCTTTCGCCACCACGAGGTTCGCTTTTATCCCCGGCGACTCCAACATCCGCCGTTCCCTGTTCGAAACCCAACTTGGAAAATCACGATCGTGATCAGTTTCATTATAATTAATAGCTTCTTGGTTTTCCAAGAGCTTTGCGTTTACAGCCAAGCTGTTGCAGAGGAGCTCGGACACATTGTAACCGCAAGCAACGGGCGTTATGAACTCCGAAACATTGAGCTCCGAAGACCCCGTTTGACACGTGTCTATGTTGGTGAGGGCGGTGCTGAGCCATGTCTGGGCATCGAAGTCCGTGCACGATCTCTTGTGGGGCCCGCCGAGGCCGGAGAGCGTCCGGTTGAGTTGGAGGACGGTGCCGTCGTAGAGCTTCAAGCAGTCCCTCCATGCAGCTTTCTCGTGGGGCTTGTTCTCGCAGCTAGACTCCAATTGTGACGCGTGTCCTCTGGCTTCTAGCGCTCTCTCCATGGCCACTTGGATCAGCATTTTTCGGAATTCCAATCGCCGTCTCGGCGCCGCCGCGAACCGGCGGGATATGTAGTAGTTGCATGGCCCGGGGTGTGGAGTTTGGCTGCACCACCGGCTAATGGTGTGGTCATGGTGGCGATGGTGATGATCATGATGACGGTGATGATGACTTATTGATAGGGCCGTTGGGGTGATCAAAGAGAGAATGAATAGTACTAGGAATGTTGCCACAAATAAATAGATATTTTTCATGGCCATATTTGTGAATGATTCATAAGGGTGACCATATCTTATAAGGGGGTATAACTATAATATGACCTGAAGGAAATGAATATTGGAAGGGTTGATGGGTTGGCCCTATTGTGATATATTGACATTGTTTTAAAAAGGACCAAGTTTAAATATGAAAGCAAAATGTAATAAGATTGCCAAACAAGTAACCCCAAGTTGGATCAATCAGCACTTAATATGGTTTACAAAGGATTGACAATGTCTTTCTTTGCGTAAAGACTTTCTAATACGTACAGCGCGGAATGATCTAATGATTCAAAGAGACAATATATTATTTTGGAGAAATTTAAACCATATTAATGTAGTGGTTCTTAACGAATTGTACTTTCAGTGGGATGAATTTGCATACCTTTCCGATTTACCATGGTGTGATTATAACTAATAATCAGACCGTACGCTGATTAATATATATATATATATTATTTTTTTTTGCTGTGTATATATATATATTTTATTTAATTATAAATGCACACAAATAATCCTCAGTTGGGTCGGTGCAATTTGTGGGAAGTAAAAGTGTAAAACCATTTCCCACGCATATTATGAATATTGTGCAGCAAGGGAAAATGTCAATAATTCTGAAAGCTTGACTTTGTTATGTACCAATTGCTTAATATATAATATATAGTTCGGGCACTAAAACGAACTGCCTGTATGTAATAATGTTATTGGTAGTAAATGTTGTTTTCTTCACACAAAAAATAAATGTACAATAAGCAAATATATTGAGCAGAAAATACTAAATATTATAACATATAATTGTATATATATTCCGTACGCTTGTGAAGTACAACCCTAATATTTATACAATTTTGTTGAGTAAATTGCTATCTTGTAAATTCAAAGAAACAGTATAGTACCTTGAAAGAAAGAAGTGGTCAGAATTACATATATTACTCAATGTCCAACTAGTGCCCCTTGAAGTTAGGTGTCAACATGTGCTTTCTAGTTTGCACAGTAAGCAAACCGTTCCTTTTACAGTTCAACCATATGTATAAAAAAAAAAAAAAGCGCAAATCTTTTACCAAATGACTTTGTTAATTTTAATTTTGCTTTTCAATTGCAGTTGATCTTTTATAGGTCTCATTCATTTAACTGATTTGAGTTTAGAATTCGAGTTTTATTACAGTAAAAAGCTATCAGAAATAGTCACATTTAATTTTTTTCCTACAGTAAAAAACTCACATAAAATCATATCTCAACTCGAATCAACGAACTAGTAAAAAGCTATCAGAAACAGTCACATTTAATTTTTTTGCTACAGTAAAAAACTCACATAAAATCATATCTCAACTCGAATCAACGAACTAAACAGACCCGTAATTAATTGTGTTAATCAATGAGTACTTTGACCTGCATTAACCTTAATCATTGAGAAGGTATGCGGATAACCAAATTTTCTTTAGAAGGGAAAAAAGTGGCTCTTCAATTATATTTAAAGATAAAGCTTCGGAGAAGTCAACATATAGGAAAAGAGAGAAAGATGACTGTCATATAACATACTTAACATCAACCTAACATTTGATGGTAGTTATACATTGACTTGTCCTTAACAACTTTTTTAATGAATTTCCAACGAAATTCTCGTCGCTTTTAGTCAAAAGAAGTTAAATAAAAATTTTAAAAACATCTGATTATTTTGGTCATGCAAAATGGCAAAAGGCTAAAAATTCCCACATACGGGTTCTAATAGAATTCCTACCCGCCGAACCCACTAGTACAAAGTCAGGCCGGGATACAACATTGCATTTTCTAAGTTCTAACAAATGCGTAGAATAACATTCTTTGATCCAAATTCATTAATGCCCTACAATATTTGCGGCCAATATGCTATCATAATTTCGAGTCAATAAGCTATACTAAATTTAGTCATTGATATAATTACTTTGTTAGACTTCTAATTTCATTACTGGAGTTATAAATTGACTAGCACTAAACAATGTGCCTATTGGATCGAGAAGCTTTTTCTATTAGACTTCTGTGTATGGTTAATTCTTGTTGAATCCACGTCTCTTTTGACTCGTGCTTGTATGTGTATGGTAATTTGTATTGTGGTTGAATACTTGTAAGAAAAGTATATACTGCTCTAATTTGCTATAATGTGTTTATTCATGTTACCTTAGAATTATGTTATGTGTTGGACTATATTTTTTGAATGTTACGCTAAAATAAAGTGTTACACACACATACACTTTAATCACATGAACATAAAGAAAAAGAAAATTTACCCATGCATGGCGGCTCTGGTTGTCAATTTTAAGACACTTTGAGCTCGTTTGTTTCACGCGATTAAACTAATAGTTTTGATTCTGCTATAATATTTTTTTCTCATAAAAAATTTAAATTTTAAATATTATAATTAAGAATCACTGATTTAAACGCATAAACGAAACGAGCCCTTTAAAATTATGAATTGCGACCGTGCTAATTGCTTTATTAATGATTTCACGATGTATTGCTTTATTGATTACAGAATATTTGAATTTGTTGTTTAATTGTTTCTCAATAGGCCCCGTTCACTTTGCTGATTCGAGTTTAGAATTCAAATTTTTCTACAGTAAAAAGCTCTCACAAACAATCACATCTAACTTTTTTGCTACAATAAAAAGCTCTCACATAAAATCACATCTCAACTCGAATCAGCGAAGTAAACGGGACCATGTGTATTGCTTTCTTAATATTCGTTCCGTTTGTATATATTAAAAAAAAGGTATAAAACCTATCAAATTATTGTCCTCTCTCCCCCTTTTTTGAGTGAATATATATTATTGTCCTTTTGGATGTACCATATTTCTGTTCGGAATACAAGCAATCATTGTAGACAGCAATTCTTGCACGGGACTTTTGCGGGCGAATTTCTTATGTAATAGCTTTCCAACCTTCTTTCATTTCCGGTTTAATTTGCAACTCAGAATTATGTTTGGGCTGGATGAACATAACGGTTACAATTTTATAAACTCCCTTCTCTTTCTTTCTTTCTTTCTCTTTTGCTTTTTGTTTGTGTTTTTTTTTTTTTTTTTTTTTTTTTTTTTTGGAAAAAAAGGCCCTTTGAATCCCTTGAATCTTGGAAACGATAACAACGTACTTTCCCTTTAACTCCATCTGAGCCAAACGGTAAAGAAAACATGTCTGATCTTGATTTTAGGGAGACGACACGTGCCTGTCATGATTGATGACTCAACAAATTAGATTAAAGAAAAATCATGAATTGATAATCCAAAAAAGAATATGTGCATATATTTTCTTTTTTTCTTGAATGTTTTCCCCCTTCTGAACCAATTTTTGTCTTATTTTGTTTCAGGATTATCATTTACAAAGTGAGAATTTTTTTCTTTTTTTTTTTTTTTGCCTGAAAGATAAAGTATTTAAAAGAAGCCTAAAAAGAAATAAATTCAAAAATGGGGAAGAAACAAAGAAAAAAAAGAGAAGAAAATGAAAGAGGAAAAATAAGGCAATTAAAAACGTTTCAATTCTCAAACCCCTATACGGCTACGGTGCTTACATATCACACCAAATTCGTCACTGACAAAAACTCATGAAAGACCCAAAAAAAAGAAAAAAAAAAGGTATAAAAGAACATTCAAGATATACAAAACGATACTTCTGAGCCTTTAATTAGGGCTAGATGCCTCTCCTGAAAGGGTATCTTCCTTGCATCTCCAAAAGTTCCAGCAGAATTATTTTTTTACTGTCATTAGTTCTTTCTTTTATATTTTTTATAGAACTTGCTAGTATTAATATTTATAAGCAGGAGGCCGCTATATGAGAAACTAGTTATGGCCACAGGCCAAATAACTATGGATTGTGCTCAGTAGCCAAAAAAAGTAAAATAAAAAAAAAAAAATCTGCTCTAGTTATATTTTAAAAAGAAAAAAAAAATTGGAGTATGAGATTTGAACATTACACCAAAAGGTACAATTATTATGTGAATTTACCTTTAGATTATACTTGAGGTAAACTAATGAGTTCGGATATGACTGAACTCTATAGAAGAGTTATCTATCGGAACAATACGCTTATTGATTTATTAACAAGTAAATTTACGCCAAGGGTACTAGTAATGTGTCAGGAGAAATTGGTACAAGAAGCTGCTGTGGATACACTTTTTGATAATGGAATCTGCGGACATGAACCAATGAAAGACGGTCATAAACCAAGAGTTATTATTGTTTTTATATGTTTAACTAGGCTCTTATTAGTTATTATTTGCTAATTTGATGCTTAAAATAGTAAGTAATAATCCAACATCAAAGTAGGAAAAGAAAAGGTTCTAAAAATTTCTTAAAATCCAACATAATATTTAAAAAAATTTGCTATATTTTTAAATTTATTATTTAAACTTTGCTATTTCGTGGTCCTCTCTTAACTATGTATTACTTTTGTAATTTAGAAATCTTCTCTCTGATCAAACAATACAGCCCCATTCAACCAATCGAGCCCGTTTTCATTTGAAATAACGCAACTTACACCATAAAATTCGTCATACATGCATACGTAGAAATATGAACTTTATATCTATCATCTAATATTGAAAATTAATCCACATATATACACATATATACATACATAACATTCTAGTCGCAAACATACGTAAAAGAATTGCTCTATATATTTTTCAAAGGAGAGTACAACGGAAATACAAAGTATATGACTCTTTTTTATTTTTTATTTTTTATTTTTTTCTTCGGCAAAGTACAAAGTATTAACTCAAATACAATGAAACTACACCAACGTAGTTGATCACCACCTTACACGGATGCACCGCAAACGCCTCCTCTCATTTCTGCGCTAGCGGATACCACTCCCTAATTCTTCTCCTCTTTCCTTTTAGGAAAATCTGCCACTACTTTTCATTTCCTTAGTAGACCAGAATCCATTTATCCTTTAAGCTTTTAAATCCCCAAGTGAATGGAAATCCAAGTCTTACACTTAACTGATCTTTTCTTATCATCTATATATATATATCCATTGTTCAGGCCTCATTTTTCTTTCATTCATATTCATATTACGTGGAGTCGCAAGACACATTAAATCGACTGCTATATATACACGAGAGAAACAAGAGAAAAAAAAGAGATTGATTGATAATCATAATGGGTGCTGTACTACAAACTTTGGTGGCGTTAGTAGGGATGAAGATCATGGTAATGACTGTGGGGGTGGATTCACACGATTATGGGAATGCGTTGTCAAAGAGCATTTTGTTCTTTGAAGGCCAGAGGTCAGGGAAGTTACCCTCCTCACAAAGAATGACATGGAGAAAGGATTCTGCGCTTCGCGACGGTTTCGAAATCGGTGTAAGCTTTCTTTCTTAATTTCCATTATTGTTCGAAATAATGCTATATATATCTTTATATCCTTCTTTTTTTTTTTTTTTTGCTAGTCAGTCAAGAAAAAGTTCCTCATTTCTACACACACAAAAAAAAAAGTTTGTCATTTTTTTTTAATACAAAAACGTTTGTCATTTTATTCCTAGAAAGAATAATTTTTTTTGATAATATAAATGTTCATCATGTATTACGTGCATATATTATATGCTAGTGATAAAGGTTCCCTAGTTGCTTTTGTGTTCGATTTTTGTTGTTTTCCTTTGTCAATATTCTTTTATATTTTAAGGCGTAGGATGGCAATAAGAGGACGATGGTTTGTCCCTTTATTGAATCATATGAATTCTGAGCGTACGCATGGCTTTCGTTGTAAGGTCTCGATTAGTGGCTTTTCGTATGGCTTAGAATTAATAACAAATTTTGGGGCACGAAATTCATTGCCTATATATGGAGCCTTAAAGGGAATTGGTCGCGTGATTGGTTAATTATTTTCGCTCTCTTTATGAAAATTAAACGAGACGTCTCTTAATATTTGGTAAATATATCCTCACCCAATACCTCAACGGTCGCTCGTATTAATTTTATTCTTTTCCCCTTATTTTATGACTACTGGTAATTTAACCTTGAAATGCAAAAAGCGACAAAGGAAAAGGGAAAAAAAAATTTAAGTACTTTCTCAAAATCATTGACTGTTTTGTGCCATTGATTCTTTTTTTTTTTTTTTCTTTTGAGGTAGTGCCATTAAATTATTAGTAGGGTTTTTTAGGGGAAAATTATTAGGGTCTTGTATTTACAATTCTGCATGATTCTGATATGATACAATGTTTACGAAAGTCAGTTATTGCATTTTTAATTTTCCACTAAGAGTAATTAAAAGCCTCGGAGTACGTACGTACTACTTAATTAAGACCTCAACTTTTAAAAGTTGGTGCAGATAATTTTGGCTAAGCTAAATCTGTGACTAGGAGCACACATTGTCATTGGATTATTATTTTTTTATTTTTTATTTTTTATTTATTTTTTAGTGTTACTATCCCGTAAATCATGTAGAATACTCATTAATTGAAGTCTTTTTTTTTTTTTTTAAACGAGCTATAAAATTTTATTCAGTCAAATATGCTGTGCAGGTTGATTTGTTAGGTGGTTACTATGACGCGGGAGACAACGTAAAGTTCAACTTTCCCATGGCATTTTCCACAACAATGTTGGCTTGGAGTGTCATAGAGTTCGCCAAGTCCATGGACTCCGACCTCCCACATGCACTTGGCGCGATCCGATGGGCCACCGACTACTTTCTCAAGGCGACGAGCGTCCCCGGCTTTGTGTTTGCCCAAGTTGGCGAGCCTTACGGCGACCACGCGTGCTGGGAGAGGCCTGAGGACATGGACACCCCAAGAACTGTCTACGCAGTCAGCAAGCAGTTCCCTGGCTCGGAGGTCTCCGCTGAGATTGCGGCGGCTCTCGCAGCTTCTTCCATGGCGTTTCGGTTCAGTGATAGGGAATACTCCGCCAGGCTTCTCAAGAGAGCCAGAATGGTATGTCAAAAGAATATACTATGCCTTGCTGATCACGTAACATATAATGTTGATGATGTTATGGAACTCTTTTTTTTGTTTTTTTTGTTTTTCCTGATAAGCATGATGTTATGGAACTTGGTTGGTGTAGAGTATTGATTTTGTTGCTTGGAATAGGTTTTTGTGTTTTGCAGATAAGTACCGGGGATCATATAATGACAGTCTTGGACCATGGGTGTGCCCATTTTATTGTGATTTCAACGGCTACCAGGTATATATGTATATAGTTCAATATGTCAAGTGGTACTTTACTGAGTATATATACAAGATTTATAGTGGGTCACGCTTAATAATATAACTACATCCATCTTTAGCCGTTGTAAAATTCTACTAATTAAACAATGAAAGATTATAAGCGAAATTACACAGCTCACGCCTCTCAAACTTCGTGTTTATTCTAGTACTAGTATAGTTAAGGCATAAAATACCCGAATTAAAAATTCGATCCATGCACTAACTCTACGTTAGGTCAATCTCATGAATCATTTTATTTTATTGTGATTCCATTGGTTTCAAGATCCTAATAATTAAGAAGCCAAGAAATTTATTAATGGTTTATATAGGATGAATTGCTTTGGGGAGCAGCATGGTTGTTCAAGGCAACAAAGGATTCTTACTATTGGAGTTATGTCATGAACAACATACACAATTTGGACCAAATTGGTGTGAAAAATATAGATGGTCTCCTATCACTCGGCGGTGGCTTTGCTGAGTTTGGCTGGGATTCAAAGCACGCAGGTGTAAACGTACTCGTTTCCAAGGTAATTAAACACATGTTTTTTCTAAGAAAAATTAAAGAACTCGGGAAAAAAGGGGCTAGGCTAATCCAAGATTTCCTACTTGTCACTAGCAGTTTGCTTTGTCAAGCCTCTCTACTTCTGCTTCCTTCATTTCCAATGCGGACAAGTTTGTATGTTCTATTTTGCCCGAATCACCAACCAAATCAGTGTCATATTCACCAGGTATCCGTCCTTTTTGCTTGAGAAAATTACTGAGACAAATACTCCTTAAAGTGCATGAGTTTAGATTTTCACATCTTATTCTTAATTAATACTTTTTTGACTAATATAACTATTTGACTAAAAATAGTATTAAACAATAGTCAAGAATAAAATTCAGACCCATATACTCTAAGAGGTATTTATCTCATTTTCTTATTTTTCTTTTTCTCTGATAATCATAGTGATATATATATATATATATGCCACAAAGACTAGTCAGTAATATATGTATGCTTTGTTGGTTCTTTTTTTCCAATGTCATTCGTAAATTGAACAAATCAGGTGGGCTTTTATTTAAACCGGGAGGAAGTAACATGCAGCATGCGACAGCCTTGTCGTTTCTTCTACTTGTGTACTCTCGCTATTTGAATCAAGCAAACAGAGTGGTCCAATGTGGAAATGTTGTGGCCAATTCGGCTAGGCTAGTTCAGGTTGCAAGAAGTCAGGTAATCTATCTAAGCTTTAAATGACTTGGCCAAATCATAGCAGAAAAGCAAGATTTTTCTCCTCAAATAAATAAATTTTAGAATAAATATTAGTTTACCGATCCATTTCAAAAACTTAAATTGTTAAGAAATGGGCCGACTCGACGTGATTTAAATTTTTAAGTGAATAATGAGTGTAATTACGTAAGTTTAATTTGAGGCCTCCTACTCTGACAGAATGGTAGTTTACCAACGCGAATAACATTGATCACTAATTGGATCAATTGCAGGTGGATTACATACTGGGAACAAATCCATTAAAAATGTCATATATGGTGGGGTATGGGAAAAACTTTCCTCAGAGAATACATCACCGCGGTTCATCTCTACCCTCAATAGATCAACACCAAGCACGCATAGAATGCAAGGGAGGAAGCTTATATTTCAATAGCAATAATCCAAATCACAATTTGCTAATTGGAGCTGTCGTTGGAGGGCCTGATATCAAGGATTGTTACTCTGATTCTCGATCTGATTTTGTACAATCCGAGCCTACCACTTCCATCAATGCACCTCTTGTGGGCGTCTTGGCTTACTTCAAATCACACCCATACTGAAATATAGCTGAAAAAAAAAAGAAAAAATGGAATTAACTGTAATAATCTTTGAATAATTTATTGCAAAAATTTAAAAAGTATAGCAGTCTTCTTTTTCCTTTTAAATTAAATGACATGTCACATTAATGTAAAGTGATATAGTTTAACAATTCACGACGTGTCGTTTATCTTACATTTTTTTTATAATTTCCCATAGAAAGGTTGCCTCTTTAAAGTTTGGCAGCGACGGGTAGCTTAATAGGCGTTTTTCATTGTTCTAGTGGACTCATTAGACATTTACTTCGAAAAACATGTTGTTCACTGAACGAAATTTATTTTTTTCGAAAAACTTGTTGTCCTGTCTTTATAAACAACAAATCCGTCACCTTCAAGAAAAGCATGACGCTGTTTGATTATATTGACGGTCTGTCATTTTCTGTTGCCAGGCTTGAGAAGCACGTTGTTTCTTTAAAGTTTGTTGTCGTTTAACTAAAGCTAAGCTACACTTTGGGGTTGTTCGCTTGCCCCCAAAAATTGAAAAAAGACCACTCGAGTAAAGAACATAGGCTAAGTCTTTTGTTCAGTAAGGACCGCTGCAGTGAAGACTCAAGTTTACACTTGAGAAAAGCAGTAATTCTTGAGTGCAGCCGTACCCCCTTAATTCAAGTTCAGCCGCAATTATTAACAAAAATTACTTTCCCTTATTTTAATAATAAATTCTAAACAAAAATAATTATCTCTCCTTAATTTTTAACTATTCACAGCTCAAGTTTAGGTGTACCAAACACATACTCAAATTAAATTCTCAATTAAAAAATTAATTCAAATATGCACATTTAAACACAAACTCAAATTGCATCTTTAATTCAAGTTATAACTCAAATTCAACTCAAGATCTACACTCAAGTCACTAATAACTCAAAAATACAACTGAACAAGTACTTAGTTTATAGTGCGTTTTTTTTTTTTTTTTTTTTTTTTTTTTTTTTTTTTTTTTTTTTCTAAAATTGTGGTGCGTTTTCATTGTTGCTGAGAAATTAGAGATTTAGATTTGAAAAACCACATTTCATTTTATTGCATACAAAATGTCGTTCATAAATGAAAGACGTCGTCCTGCTGTTTGAATTTTGTATCTGCTTATTGGGTTTGAAGTTGTCCAATGTTTGCAAAACGACAAGTTGCAGCAATGTAAGTTGCGCTAATTGTTATCTTTTTAAACTTTGTTGTCGTTTTCAGATCAAACGACCCGTGTTTTTTGAAACTTAGTCCTCATTTAATTTGAGTTTTTTTATAGTTAAAAACTCTCATAAAAATTACATTTAATTTTTTTACTATAATTAAAAATTTTCACATAAAATTATATCTCAATTCTAATTAAAAATTCGAATCGATCAACCCAACAGGCTTTAATTGTCGGCGGTTGATAAAACGGCACGTGGTAAGATCAAAACGACATTTAAGTTTTTCAGAATTTTGTTCTTTTTCCAAGTACATTAAGCGACATGTCGCTTTAAAAAATGATCTGTCGTTACCCAAAAAAGAAGTGACAATTAAGGCTCTGTTCATTTCGCTGATTCGAGTTTAGAATTCGAGTTTTACTACAGTAAAAAGCTCTCACAAATAATCACATCTAACTTTTTTGCTACAGTAAAAAGCTCTCACATAAAATCACATCTCAACTCGAATTAAAAACTCAAATTAGCGAACTAAACGGGCCCTAAAAATAGTTCATATATTTGACCCTAATTGATCTCGAATTCGAAAAGATATCACAAATTTCTGGAGGTTTTTTCAAGCGAACCCCTTCTGAGCAAAACTTGAGCGAAAAGAAGAAAAGAGGGAAAAATGCAGCAGAGAAGGCCTTCGGGAACGGACGGTTCGGATTTCTCCTACCGCATGGTCGTCGACTCTCGTGAGTTTCTTTTTCTATTTCAATTCATCTTCTGAAAATAATAAATCTGCCATTAGAGAAACAAAAACCCCTTTCGTTGCAATCTCAGCTTTCTCTGTTATTAACAAGCACTGTAATATTAAAGTTCTTGAATTTATGCAATTGGTTTTTTTTTTTAAATCTCAATTATGGGTTTTGTTTTTATTGAATTTTAGGGTACCAGAGAGTAGCTAAAGGAAAATCTCGCCTCTACGTGCTAATTATCGCCCAGGTGTTTTTATTGAATTTCTGGATTCGCCTCTACGCGCTAATTTCCTTTTTGATTTTTTATTGAATATCTCCACATGGGTTTTTCTTTTTTTTTTTATTTACTAAAAATTGCATGTGATTACTTGCTGCTATCAATTACTACCGTGTGATTTATCAGTAACAGTACTAGTTTCACCTGGTTCGTTTATTTTTATTATATGATATTTTTGTATATGACCCATTAATTTTTGTCAATGAAGAATGCATATTTTGCATGGAAAATAAATTAGAATTTAGGGTTTTTTTTTTATAGCTCTTAATTTTATTGAGGTTTGTTCAGATATGAAATATCCATATTTGATTTAAGATATATTAGTTGAAATATCAATTTTTAATTCTATATATTAGTCAAAATTTATCTCTAATCTTGTACTGTTGTGTTCAATCTTCATCAAAGCTTCATGTTCATTTATGTATTGCATCAATCAAGTGGTTTAAGTTTATTTGGGGTTTTCCCTATTCAATAGTTTTAACTTTTAACTGCAGGGGATCATTCAAATAATAGGATTATTGTACACAGTTCTAAGGACATCATGGGAGGAGGGACCCAATAGTATTGCTATCTCATCTGTTGCTGTTGGTTTTGTTTCTCTGATTCTTGGGGAATTAGGTTGCCATGCATTTCTATACCTTTTATTCTCTTCAATTTAAATTTCATGTATTTGCTTTAACTTTAATTATACACTTGTTTTTTCATCGCTGTTGTGTTAAAGGTCGAAGGCGAAGCAGAGCAGGTTTGTTGAAGCTTTACTTGGTTGGATCATCGCTTGCACTATTTCTCTCCATCGCTTTTGTTGCCAAGAGAAATCTAACAATAGAGGTTAGACATTCGTCTTCTTTTTCGTGTTGTACATTTTTATTAAGAATGTCTATATACTCTTTGGAAAAAAGGAAAAATATTTGGAAATTGCAACGAAGATAAAGAAGCGTTTCTAATGATCAAATAAAGTCGGTAAAAGACCACGCAAAGCGGCATGGGCATGGGAATAAAAGAAATACCCTGCTTTAACTTTGAACGTAAGCTTATAACTCGAAAAGACCCGAGTATGCCAAACTTTTCAAGGGCCGAAGAAGAAAGCTAATTGGATTCTAAGTTGTGGTAGCTTTTGATACTGAAATTGCTTCCACCCTTTTTATTCTTAGAGGTGCTAGATTGCTGTTACGTTTCTTTCTGTTGAAGCTTACTAATTATTTGCACCTAATTACTGATTAGGATATCAAAAGTCCAAGTAACTGGCAAGCGAGAAAGATTGAACTTCTTGAGGTCTCTCGCATTCTACTTGGTGAGTCTATGATTCTTATTCTAATTAGTAGTTGCTCTTATTTCTATCATGTGGACCAGTGATGACAATTCATTGGACTTAAACTTAATGGTCATGTTATTGTTTACAGGGTTCCTGATTCAAATATTTACCGTTAGCACAGTAATTTCACTCATAAGAAACATGTGTCCTCCCAAAAAAGCCTCATAAGTTTGAAGTTTATTTGGTGAAGGAGCAAAAATTTTTTTTTTCCCTTTTTCTCTCAAATGGTTTCTTCAGAGTTTTTTTTTTTTTTTTTTTTTTTTTTTTTTTTTTTTTTGGTGCTTTGGATTTTGTAACTCAACAGAGAGTTCTGAGTTTTTGTGCTCTAAAATACAATGATTTTGATACCTTTCTTAGAGAGCGTGTTCTATTTTAACTATATGGAATTGAGATGAAAACAAGCTTTTAGCTTCATCTATGTCTATCTCATTCTGCAGCAAACCAATTGAGCCCGCACCAAGTTACCCTCTTTAACAATTATCAACAAATAGTACTAGTGCCATTAGTAAATAGTGAATGGATACCCAGATAGGTCATGATCATGATCATGAAGAAACTGGTACTTCCTCTCTAAATTGGAAAAACTATATATATATATATATATATGGGCTTGTAATTAATGGGATATTGTTTCCACATCCGAATGTTAGTCCCACAAAACAGGATTCTATTGGTTTGCGAAGGACCCTCCATGTGAGTCTGTGACAATGAAGAAAAATGGAACCATGGGACTGTGTTAGCCACTATATACACCTTGGTTCGGTCCATGACAGAGGAAGTGGAAGCTTTTGTTTGACCTTTATATATATTAGAATTATATGAATAAGAAGATTGGGTCACTTTTCACTACGTCTAAACCTTTCTCTTATCCTTCTCTATCCGACACACATTAAAAATCTGAAAGCACTATGATATACTTTGTGCTTAAGTATATACCCTACTAAGCATTTATAGAATTCCTCATTGATTGTTCGTGTGCAATATCACATGCATGTTTGACAATCTAGAAATTTATATAATTATTGGGAGTTTTCTGGTAAGATAAGAAAAATTGAACTACTGGTAGTTCTCTATTTTCAGCCGTTAAATTTGTATAAAAAAATTATTTGTTGTACATATTTTTTTAATTTAATGTGATTTTGATCAGATATAACGGTCAAAAGTTGGTAATATCAATAGAGAGATCTACCTGAGAAAATCCTTTAATTATTATTATTTTTTTTGGCGCAAGATTATCGCCAGTACAAGTTTTTGATACTCGCCTTAATTGAATATTACTATAGCGGAGATGAACCAAGAGAAATATACTTTAGTCTCTTGAATTTAATTAATTATCAAGCTCAATAGGTAGGCTCAAGCTAGAGTGATACCTACTAATAGTCACCTTCGACGTACAATTTGCATCCATTACTACTTAAAAGAGTTCGCATTTTATAATGTAAATTTTATAATGTAAGTACTGCAAGATACGCAAAATGGTGTGTGAAGCTCTGGTTAGACACTCATGTGTTTGCATTATATAGTTTATATTTAGTTTATATAGCCCTAAGAAAATAGCTCTACAAACATATAATCCATGTTTGGAGTTGGTTTTGTTTTTGTTTTTTATGTTTTTTGAGAAAGAAAAAATAAAAACAGAAAAGAAATGGCGTTTAGCACAATTAAAGACAAAAAATAGAAATGAAAACGATTTTTTAATTTAGTGTAAAATAGGAGAAAAATAAAAAATGACTTTTAGTCGTTTTTCATTTTTTATTTCTGTTTTCTCCTCTCTCAAGTATAGAGAGAAAGAGAAACATTAATATATTTTTTATACTGAAAATAATCTCTTAATAAAATTACTAAACGCATTTTTAAAAATAATTTCTGTCTGAAATTAAAAATATTTTCATTTCTATTTTTATATAAAAAATAAAATTATTTTAAAACGAGTTTTAAATGCATAGATATATTTTTGAAATTGTTTTAGTGATGAAGTTTGACAAAAGGACAAAAAAAAAAAAAACAAGAACGAGAAGAAGCAACTTCTTTTTAACTTAGGAGTAGTGATGTATATGGCTTTAGAAAATTATAGTTGGACGCTGCAACATGCATGTGCAACTTCTTTTCGACCCGTGGCTTTCTGTTGTCTTCAGTGGTCCAATCTATTCAATTGGGGTGAGTGAAGTTCGCTTTTTCTGTCTTCCAATTTATATCATGTCCCACACACCAGAGTAAAGTACTGAATAATTCTATGCTAGACCATACAAGTAGAAGAATTATAAAATTAAGCAAGCTTATTAGGTCTCGTTTAGTTTGTTAATTTGAGTTTTTAATTCGAGTTGAGATGTGATTTTATATAAGAGTTTTTTACTGTAGCAAAAAAATTAAATGTGTGTTTTTGAGAATTTTTTACTGTAATAAAACTCAAATCGACAAAATGAACGGGGTCTTAGTGTTCTTGAGGTGAAAAAAAAAAAAAAAAAAAAAAAAAAAAAAAAAAAAAAAATTTAAAATCAAAAATTGTGCAATATCACATGCATGTTTGACAATCTAGAAATTTATATAATTATTGGGAGTTTTCTGGTAAGATAAGAAAAATTGAACTACTGGTAGTTCTCTATTTTCAGCCGTTAAATTTGTATAAAAAAATTATTTGTTGTACATATTTTTTTAATTTAATGTGATTTTGATCAGATATAACGGTCAAAAGTTGGTAATATCAATAGAGAGATCTACCTGAGAAAATCCTTTAATTATTATTATTTTTTTTGGCGCAAGATTATCGCCAGTACAAGTTTTTGATACTCGCCTTAATTGAATATTACTATAGCGGAGATGAACCAAGAGAAATCTAACAGTAAAATTTAATATCAATACATAATGTCGTGAGGCTACTTGAGGTTAACTCAAACGATTGGATGTGTGGGTCAGTGTGGGTGTGTGACCAGAGTCAAATCTTGATGGGTGTAACATGTGTGAGTTAGAAGGCTTATCTACCAAAAAAATGTAAGCACAATATAAGCACATGTCTAGCTATGGATATTAGATTATGTGAAACTTATTATAAAGAGATTTTAATTTTCAAGATAATGGATTAAAAAAGAACACTACTGCCATTGCCTTTTCAATTTGTTTGTTTATTGCATTTTTCTTTAAGACCCACCCCAAAAAAAAAAAAAAGTGTTCTTATCCTTTTCTAATCTGGTTTGTGTTCCTTTTTTTAACACACCCGCCCGCGTATTCTTGCATTAAACGAGTAGTCATGAACTCGCCTTAATTGAATATTACTATAGCGGAGATGAACCAAGAGAAATATACTTTAGTCTCTTGAATTTAATTAATTATCTAGCTCAATAGGTAGGCTCAAGCTAGAGTGATACCTACTAATAGTCACCTTCGACGTACAATTTGCATCCATTACTACTTAAAAGAGTTCGCATTTTATAATGTAAATTTTATAATGTAAGTACTGCAAGATACGCAAAATGGTGTGTGAAGCTCTGGTTAGACACTCATATGTTTGCATTATTTAGTTTATATTTAGTTTATATAGCCCTAAGAAAATAGCTCTACAAACATACCGTCCATGTTTAGAGTTGGTTTTGTTTTTATTTTTTACGTTTTTTGAGAAAAAAAAAAATGAAAACGGAAAAGAAATGACGTTTAGCACAATTAAAGACAAAAAATAGAAATGAAAATGATTTTTTGATTTAGTGTAAAATATGAGAAAAATGAAAAATGACTTTTAGTCGTTTTTCATTTTTTATTTCGGCTTTCTCCTCTCTCGAGTATAGAGAGAAAGAGAGACATTAATATATTTTTTATATTGAAAATAATCTCTTAATAAAATTACTAAACGTATTTTTAAAAAAGATTTCTGTCTGAGATTAAAAATATTTTCATTTTTATTTTTATACAAAAAAATAAAATTATTTTAAAGTGAGTTTTAAATGCATAGATATATTTTTGAAATTGTTTTAGTGATGAACTTTGACAAAAGGACAAAAAAAAAAAAAAAAAAAGAAAGAGAAGAAGCAACTTCTTTTAACTTAGGAGTAGTGATGTATATGGCTTTAGAAAATTATAGTTGGACGCTGCAACATGCATGTGCAACTTCTTTTCGACCCGTGGCTTTCTGTTGTCTTCAGTGGTCCAATCTATTCAATTGGGGTGAGTGAAGTTCGCTTTTTCTGTCTTCCAATTTATATCATGTCCCACGCACCAGAGTAAAGTACTGAATAATTCTATGCTAGACCATACAAGTAGAAGAATTATAAAATTAAGCAAGCATATTAGGTCTCGTTTAGTTTGTTAATTTGAGTTGAGATGTGATTTTATATGAGAGTTTTTTACTGTAATAAAAAAATTAAATGTGTGTTTCTGAGAATTTTTTACTGTAATAAAACTCAAATTGACAAAATAAATGGGTCTTAGTGAACATTAATGCATCCTTCGGGTGAAAAAAAAAAAAAAAAAAAAAAAAAAAAAAAAAAAAAAAAAAAAATAAAATATAACAATAATAAAAAATTTGATGGGTCGTGAGGCTACTTGAGGTTAACTCAAACGATTGGATGTGTGGGTCAGTGTGGGTGTGTGACCAGAGTCAAATCTTGATGGGTGTAACATGTGTGAGTTAGAAGGCTTATCTACCAAAAAAATGTAAGCACAATATAAGCACATGTCTAGCTATGGATGTTAGATTATGTGGAACTTATTATAAAGAGATTTTAATTTTCAAGATAATGGATTAAAAAAAAACACTACTTTCATTGCCTTTTCAATTTGTTTGTTTATTGCATTTTTCTTTAAGACCCCACCCCCCCCAAAAAAAAAAAAAAAAAAAAAAAAAGGTTTTCTAATCTGGTTTGTGTTCCTTTTTTTAACACACCCGCCCGCGTATTCTTGCATTAAACGAGTAGTCATGACTTGTTTGTCGCTTCCTCTCAAGTTATATGTTACATTTCTTCTCTTCTCCCAAAAATTAATCATATTCATGTCATAGTCAACTCAAATCTTAACAGTGTAAATACTTACATATATACATGCACATATGTGACCAATAATATTGCACCAATCAATTATAGCTTCCGCTTCACATTTGATGGAAGAAATAAAAATAGAGCACAGGTTTAGTACCATATATTCTATAAATACATATTCAATCATTTATATCTTAATTAAAGAGTCACACACTTTGTATGTGACTACCTATGTATCGCAATGACATACAAATTACAATATCAATCCATCACAACCTAGCTAGACATATGCATATTATATGTTTTCACTCAGAACAGTAAACGTACAATCACACGGAAAAAAAATAATATTTGAAACCGGTGGAGCATCACTTACTAATAAAAAATGGATCTCGCAACTGAGTCTTATATTAGTTGTAATGCGTAACACCAGTGATGTTCATTAATATATTTTTTTGTCATAATATTTAACCACGCTTTTGGGACGAGAACCAAAAAAAGTTAACCATGAATCAAGCCATATCTGTTGATCAAAGCCAAGGCATTGCTAGTCAATTGGGCAACATTCACAACCTGGCCCCTCACAGCAGTCTTCAAGTTCCCGTTCATAGGTTTCTCTTCGAACCCATCAGTGCACGTATTCTCATCCGTCAACGCAGCACTAACCCAAGTTTGTATGTCGTTTATCATGAGCTTGAAACCGGACTTTCCCTTGACGAGTTGACTCATCTCTCCCATGGACTTACGTAGCTCATCCACGGAGTCACGCAGCTCCTCAATACAGTCCTTCATGGCGTCAACCTCTCGCGGCTTCAGGCCGTGGCTCAGCGACAGCCTCGTCATCTCGGCGGACGTCGTTTTGGCCGAAGAAAGGGTCACGCTGAGGGAGGTGATGGCCAGAAGTTGAGGGCTCGATTGGATTGTGCTTGCGTGAGTTGAGAGAGAGCTAAAGCAGAGTTTTGGATAGGTTGTGGAGACGCATGACGTTCTAATGAACTCGGTGTTGGTTTTGGATACGGGGTTTCTAGAAGCTGAGGTTGAGTATATGAGGTGAGAAGTACTGCAAATTACCATGAGAAGGAAAGTGGCCATGTGTTTAGAAGATGAAGAATATTCCATGTTTCTCTCTTTCTTTCTTATCTCAATTTTTTGAGCTTGTAGAAGTGATGATAGTAGAAGGAGAGAAGGAATGCCAATTTATAGAGCACGTACGGAAGAAATTTAAAAAAATCTAATATTATTTGGGTCGTCTTTGGGGTCTAAATGATGAAAATCTATGGGGTCTCTAGATTATGTGGAAGTGGGGTCCAATTTGAAATATATTGATATTTATATACATGTGTTCTTATCTCAACAAGAGTAATATGGATATATATACACTTAGTATTTGGAAGGCCACGGTGACCCTTTAAGTTGGATTACATACATTGTATCCTACACGGTTCTACTACTTTGAATATTCATTTTATTTAACCCACACTCTAATGATTGCTCAATTATTGTTAGAAATGTTCCTAGAAATTATCTTGTCTATAATTCAACTTACTCGGAGGATTAAACCGTGGAAAAATATATATTTCGGAAGGTAATATAACAGAGGCGATAAATTGATGTAAGCCATAACTTTTTATCTCGTGTATATAGTATGGTAAATTTTTTGGTATAATATATGTATATGGTAGGGGTAATTATCACCGATATTGTTACCACGTGAATCATGTTAGTCCCCATAATCCACAATTCCCAATTGCAAATGTGCTCGTGCATAATTTAGATATTCAACACTCGTAATTTAAGTGTATTGTTTATTTGATTCAGAATTATTAATTAATTATTATATGATAGGATGGGACATGGCGGGCTTGGAGAAGGTGGCGCCAAATGGATGTGCCCACATCCTTCACCGTCCTAATAAAGGAAGCAAAGGCGAATTGGGATTAGGATTATAAGTTTGCTTCATCTAAAAATACAATAATGCATGCAAATGCTTTTTCTTTTTTCATAACCGAATGCATGAAAATTGTTTATTTATCAATTCCTCAAGCTATTGGCGGTGAGCTAATATTAGTGTTCCCATTTTGACAAAAAGTATTCTATGATGCACTGAAGTTCTGTTTATTTTTTCCGAATATGTGTATCAATAGAAAAGTGTGATGCTTTTACATCTGTACTTATATGTATAGTAATTAGCATGATCATATACATATATCGAGGAGTAATTGCAAACGTAATTTAACAATAATTTCTACTACAAAGCTCCAATGGTATTGGATTGATTCTAAATTCAAAACCCTAAAAAAATCGAAAAGGGAACGTGTGTGTGTATATATACACACACACACATATCCTCTCAAACTCCTGTATTTGGCCGGCGACAAACTTTGACGTCCCTATTAACATTGTTTGTGTACATGTCAACAAGACAATTTTGTCAATTCGGGGTACCCAACTTGATCAATGATTGATGCATGCAAATTGCTTGCTTAATTGGTGTTCTAGCAACTTCTAATTAGTAGCTACTATCTAGCTATCGCAACTTGAGTAAATACATATTAATGCAAGTTGCGACTTGTTGATCGTAAACCCTACCACTCCCTCATACAACTCGTGTTACGATAGGGACACACAAGAATTACATAAAACACTCTTTTTGAGTCAGACAATTGTACATGTCCAAGCACAGTTACAGACACTTACAGCTAGACTACATCAGAAATATAAGTCTCGTTCATTTCACCAATTCGAGTTTTGTTACAGTAAAAAAACTCTCACAAACAGTCACATCTAACTTTTTTACTATAATAAAAAACTCACATATAGTCATATCTTAACTCGAATTAAAAATTCAAATCAGCGAACTAAATGAGCTTCTAATAAATATGACCTATATTGTAAATAATTATACTTAGATTGCGACCGATACACTGGAGATAAATAGAGTACATATATAATTAAATAGAAGCTTTTCCCTTAAACTAAACTTTTAATAGAGGCTGAAGAGACGTACGATAGATATTTTGGTGGACAAAAGAAAATATAAGTAATTGATCTCTCAAGTTGTGTGTCTAATTAGGAGATTGTGTCCAATTTGATATATCTTAATTAGAACCTTTGTCTAGATTGTGCACCTTCCATACACATATATATATATATATATATATGTATGTACAGACAAACTAGTCAAACTGCTAATAAATGCATGATATTGAGTTCGTAACGTTAGAAATAGTACTGGATCCAATGCATAATGGACTGTTAATGAAAACTCGCCGCCGATTTACTGTTTAGATCATTATTATAGAATATGCATGGTTTACTGTACATGGTACACTGGAATATCTGTTTTGCTCTTTAATTTGAATTGTGGAGTTTATCTTTTTTTTTTTTTTTTTTTTTTTTTTTTTTTTCCTTTTTTTTTCTTTTTTTGCCCTTTCTTCTCCTTTACCTGCGCAAAGATTTTTGGTTCTTTTTTTACTTTATAATCTGATTGTACACTTTTATCCTCACTTTTTTATTTCTTTATTTGTTTTTATATTTACTAATTTATATCAATTATTAATATAAATCAACATTTATTATTTTGAATACATATCTTAACAATCTTTTATTATTTCAATTTTGAACTAAAAGTAACAAATCCACTCAGAAAACGCTTAAAAATTAAGTAATATAACTACTTCTAAATACTTTGATTTACACTACATGTAATTAAAGATTTTCAACTTCCTTAATTATTATTATTTTTTTTTAAAAATTTGTATTTTGCAGTTAGAACAAAAAAAAAGTAAAATAAAAGCTATAATACATTATAAGAAACTTGTAATTAAAATATTATATAGATACATCTATATGTATATATAAACTAATCCTCACTAATCTTATACTATAAAAATTCTCAACTTTTTGTGTAATACAATTGTATTTTGTTCTACAGCAACGCACAGATTTTTGGCTAGTTATGTAACTAAAACCGGAAATAATAATTTTAATAAGAAAAGTGTACAAAAATTAAATATTAATTAATGAGTCATACGTTCCTTTCCTTTTCAAAAGAATTCCAGGATACTTCTAAAGACGTATAAGAGTAGATGCCGTCATTTAGCAGCAGAAAAAAGAAAAAAAAAGGGGGGGGGGGGGGGGGGGGGGGGGGGAGGCAGGCAAGGAAAGAGTAGACGCCGTCAATCGACCTTCTCAATAATGCTAAAGACGTCAAATTGCATGTGCCCTATCCCTTTCAAACAAAGCATAAGCAAATCCATATAGAAAATATCTATAAACAGTGAAAAAAGTCCTTTTTTCTCTTTTACGTCCTTGTTCTTAAAGGACAATTTTCAGTGTCGTTTTCAGTTTTTTTAACAGTTACAAAGCACAAGACCTCTAAAAGTTTTTGAAGATTGATCAGGAACAGTAATTCTGTAGTTCCCAGATATTGGGACAAGAAGAACACTGATTTATTTATTGAGAATTGGATAAATCCTTGTAAAAGAAAGTGTACTCTGTAACTTTATAACAAAAGATCACTCAACATACATGATCGATGTCTACAGTATTATGCATTCAATTGCATGTACGTACTAAATTTTTTTTAGAAAGGGTAAAAATCTTACGTATGATCTCAAGTCTGACAGCCGTACGATCCTGCAAATGTGTTACATTATCATATAAATTTGTAACTTTTAATCTTAAAGTAGAGGACAAATTTCTACTTGTGATGTGCAAGAACTATAAAAACGTCGAGTATGATAGTGATAGACATGGAAGAAAAAGACATCATGCATAAAGTAGCAAGTCACGGGACGAGAACATGCATGGATTGATGAATATTTTCAATCAAATAAAAGGATTGAGACTTTATGATGTTACTACTAAGCCAAATCCGTCCCCTCAAAATTAAATATTTCAAAAAAAAAGGATAAGAGTAGTAGCACTTTTTTTTTTTTTTAATTGCTTGGTAAATGTTTTAAAGACTTGTAACTTCTGTAATGACTGAGCCGATAGATTCTGAATGGAAATTAAGAAATCTAATAATAAATGTATTCGTCTTTCAATAGTTTTTAATGACTTAAAACGACTTATTTCAATTTTGATCAAGAAACAAAGGGATTTGGCAATCTATAGCTGGAAGGAGGAGCTTCACTTTTCAAGTTTCATGTTGAACTTTGGGATCAAACAATAGACTCAATCCAGTATACACCTCTCGAACAATCATACCAAACACATAAGCAATTTAATATTGGATTGGTTTAAAACTAATTGGCGCGTTTAGAATTCATTTCAAAATGATTTTGATTTGTGTATGAAAATGAAAATGAAAACGTTTTCAATCTCAGACAGAAATTATTTTTGAAAAGTCGTTTGATAGTTTTATCAAGAGATTATTTTTAGTGTAAAAAAAACTCATTAATGTCTCTCTCTCTGCTCGAGAGAGGAGAAAACGAAAACAAAAAATAAAAAACGACTAAAAGTCATTTTTCATTTCTTTCTCATTTTACACTAAACCAAAAAATCGTTTTCATTTCCGTTTTTTGTTTATTGCGCCAAATGTCGTTTTGAAAACGTTTTCATTTTTTCTTTCTTGAAAAACGTGAAAAATAAAAATGGGATCAATTTCAAACACGGCCAATATGTATGTCATTATAAGCTCTGAAGGTCAGTTCTTTAGATAATTGGTTTTTGGATTTTCACACTCTGATATTTAAACTGTCAAGTTGGCTCAATTCCCCAAAATCCAAATTCAATTTGAACAATCATATTTATCTTTATAAGGTTAAAACTCCGCTATCCACATAAAGTGAGTCTCACTAAATGGGTAGGTAGACCCAACTTAATAGGATTTTTTTTTATGAGTAATGGGAATTTATCCCCTTAGAGATGATGCCATATTTCTTGAGATATGTTATGGATACGTAGGTTTGGACCTTTTCTACGGATTTGAACACCCTATATATATAAAGGGGAGAACCAGAGGGCAATATTCCTCTAGTAGAAAGCATCAACGATATTTATGCCCCTCTTATTTGAACATTCTTGGATTCATCACTTTTTCTTTTGGGAGAATGCTTTTTTCCATTAGAATCAACTTAAGAGGGGAATGATTTTAAGAGAGACAAACCGAGGACATAAAACTAAAAAACAAGTTAAAGTCATGTTTGATAATTAGTAGAGAGAAATTATACCGAATATCTTAGTTTTGAAAATTTTTGTAGTAGTAAATAGCATATTTACTACAATTGTTAATGAATAATAAATATTTAATTCTAAAAAACATTTGTAAGGATAAAAATAAGATTATTAACTATAACCGTAGTTAATATAATGTAAATATTAAAATTAGTGAATATTGTTAAAAAAATGTATTTAGCTTAGGTTTTCGAGGGAATAAATCCGATAAATCCCCATTTACGAAATCTGATCTTGGAGTAAATATGAGATTATGAGGTAAGTTTTGAATTTATCAAATAACAGATAAATCCAAGATTTACAAAGTTTGATCATGGGATAAATATGAGATTTACCTATTTTTCCCTTATCAAAAAGTTTAGAAAAAAATAATGAACTCACATTTTGAATGCATTATTTTAATATTTTTACCTTTTATTTTTAATTAATACCGTTTAATTAATATAATTCTTTAATTAAAGAGTATTAATTAAATGCAAAAGGTAAAAATCTAAAATTCAATAAGTATTTGTCTCCTTTTTTTAAAAGTCGCCCACCCTATTTTTATCTGGGCTAGGCCACATGAAACAAAAACTTGCATGGAGCCCAATTTATTCAATGAGCCGAGCACATTAGCTCAACCCGGGTGCTTTTATTTTAGAAAATTTTCAAAGAATACCATAAAATAGATAATACTATGTTATTTATGCCATCAATTTAAGTTTTTCATTTATGTCATCAATATTCTATAGAATCATATCGTTCATATTATACCGGAATATATTTTTTACTAGAAGGATATTATTCGTATTCTATACGTTTCTTATTCTACGTGAATATTTTTTAATGGCATAATTTATATGATGATAAAAAATAACGGTTAGTTTTATATTTTTCTCTTTATTTTAGTTAGAGTTAATCTCATAAATGGTATCTGAAGTTTATTTTCAATCATACTTTAGTCTTTGACTTTCAAAATATCTCACAATTGATTTATGAGATTTTATTTTGTTTTAGTTTCTGTCAATATGTTAGTTAGGTGTTAGATATTTGAAAAAATATGTTGAAATTAAAGACCAAAATTAAAAACATCTAAAGTTTAGGAAATAAATCAAAATAAAAAAATAAATGTTAAATCACACCGATAGTTTCTAAATTTTAGTTGTTCCCAGTTTTGGTCTCTAATTTATACATATTTTGTTAAATATTTAACGCTTAGTTAATAGAAGAACCGAAATTAAAATAAAGTACAACCTCAAGAACTAATTGTAAAACATTTTTAAAGTCAGGAACAAAATTGAGATTAAAAGTAAACCTCAAAGGATGATTTATGGACTTAAATCCTTTTAGTTATAACAAGGACAAGAAAATTATTCATACAGGATTTGGTACTTTCCATTTCTTTTTTTTAAATTAATTTTACTTTGATGCATACACCTTATTTTTGCTGTGAAAGAGATTAGAAAATGCCCCTGAGACGTACATGTGACAACTAACTTGTCTCCCTCATGTTCCCCAAGTTGAGCTAAAAATTGACCAGAACAAATCACATATATTTGGTTCTCGATAAACGAACATTAATACATTACCATCTAGAAATTCAGGTAAATTCACTCTAACAAAGCATACATTCACTTTTACATGAATCCACACATACCAGATTGCCAACCACTAATATATATCAATACTAGTGGCTTTTAGTATATACATACACATATAATATATATATATATATTACATACCGACCACATTTTAAGTGATTGTAAGCATATCTAACGATAAATTCACACTCAATTCCACCACAAGATCTAGAATCCAAATTACTCACCTCTAAAATTGAAAAAAAAAAAAAATTTAACCACACTTTGAGATATTGATCCCAAACAAATTGGAATAAAATTAACCATTAATCAAGGCATATCTGTTGATCAAGGCCAAAGCATTGCTAGTCAATTGGGCAACGTTCACAATCCGGACTCTCACAACACTCTTCACCTTCCCATTCATGGCTTTTCCTCCGAACCCATCCGAGCAAGTATTCTCATCCGTCAAGGCAGCACTAACCCAAGTTTGAATGTCGTTTATCATGAGCTTAGAACTACTACGGCTCTTGAGCCTACTCATCTCTCCGATCGACTTTCGGAGCTCATCGACCGACTCGCTCAGCTCCTCGACGCAGTCCTTCATGGCGGCAGCCTCCTTCGGCTTCAGCCCGTGGCTCAACGACAGCTTCAGCATCACGTTTGATGTCGTTTTGGCCGACGAGAGGGTCACGTTGAGGGCCGTGGCTGCCAAGAGTTGAGGACTCGTTTGGATTTTGCTTGCGTGGATTGAGAGAGAGCTGAAGCAAAGCCTTGGATAGGTCGTTTCTCTGCATGATCTCCTAATGAAGTCCGTGCTTGTTTTGGGTATTGCTGATCGGACTGATCTAACGGCTGAGGTTGAGTATGTGAAGGAAGCAGCAATGCAGACAAAAATGAAAAGGAATTTGAGGAAACGTTTAGGAGATATGGATTCCATAGCTCTTTTGATTTCTTAATAGTCTAATTAGTAGTGGTTGGTGAAGAATGAAAAGAATCAATACCAATTTATAGAACTCAAATTAAGGGTATGAATTAATTATTTTTGTGTCGGTAACTCCAATGTTGCTGCTCTCCAGGGAAAACAAAAATGAAAATAATTTGATTTATGGGGTCCCATTGTTTTTTTCAAAATATATGGACAAAGAAATTTAAAGCTTTGTTGAAAAAAGATTGGGCCATGGATTATGGATATTTTGAATTCTCATTTGCCAACAGTTAGCTAACTAATATTTATTAGCTTAGGCACTTCATATACTAGCATGATGCTTTGTGTTTTGAACATATACATTTCACACACATATCTTTAACAAAAAATCAGTGGCTATTAGGATGAACAGTAACTTCTGTTAGCCAGAGATATTTTAATTGAATTGTGTTTTATATGTTCTCGAAACAAAAAATCTAACGTGCAATTTGGTCAACTTGGGTTTAAAAGCAACGTAAATCAACATCCTAGGTACAAGATAATGTCTGAATCCCGCTGACTGTAAAAACCAACTCTTAGCTACGTACCAATCTTCATTGGCAACTTGCATATATACGAACCAGCTTTAATATGAATGGGATAACAAGGGGTCGGGTTAGGGGGATCTAACGATAAATTCACACTCAATTCCACCACAAGATCTAGAATCCAAATTACTCACCTCTAAAATTGAAAAAAAAAAAAAATTTAACCACACTTTGAGATATTGATCCCAAACAAATTGGAATAAAATTAACCATTAATCAAGGCATATCTGTTGATCAAGGCCAAAGCATTGCTAGTCAATTGGGCAACGTTCACAATCCGGACTCTCACAACACTCTTCACCTTCCCATTCATGGCTTTTCCTCCGAACCCATCCGAGCAAGTATTCTCATCCGTCAAGGCAGCACTAACCCAAGTTTGAATGTCGTTTATCATGAGCTTAGAACTACTACGGCTCTTGAGCCTACTCATCTCTCCGATCGACTTTCGGAGCTCATCGACCGACTCGCTCAGCTCCTCGACGCAGTCCTTCATGGCGGCAGCCTCCTTCGGCTTCAGCCCGTGGCTCAACGACAGCTTCAGCATCACGTTTGATGTCGTTTTGGCCGACGAGAGGGTCACGTTGAGGGCCGTGGCTGCCAAGAGTTGAGGACTCGTTTGGATTTTGCTTGCGTGGATTGAGAGAGAGCTGAAGCAAAGCCTTGGATAGGTCGTTTCTCTGCATGATCTCCTAATGAAGTCCGTGCTTGTTTTGGGTATTGCTGATCGGACTGATCTAACGGCTGAGGTTGAGTATGTGAAGGAAGCAGCAATGCAGACAAAAATGAAAAGGAATTTGAGGAAACGTTTAGGAGATATGGATTCCATAGCTCTTTTGATTTCTTAATAGTCTAATTAGTAGTGGTTGGTGAAGAATGAAAAGAATCAATACCAATTTATAGAACTCAAATTAAGGGTATGAATTAATTATTTTTGTGTCGGTAACTCCAATGTTGCTGCTCTCCAGGGAAAACAAAAATGAAAATAATTTGATTTATGGGGTCCCATTGTTTTTTTCAAAATATATGGACAAAGAAATTTAAAGCTTTGTTGAAAAAAGATTGGGCCATGGATTATGGATATTTTGAATTCTCATTTGCCAACAGTTAGCTAACTAATATTTATTAGCTTAGGCACTTCATATACTAGCATGATGCTTTGTGTTTTGAACATATACATTTCACACACGTATCTTTGTTACATAATAATGTGTGATTTATATAACAAAAAATCGGTGGCTAATAGGATGAACAGTAACTTCTGTTTGCCAGAGATATTTTAGTTGAATTGTGTTTTATATGTTCTTGAAACAAAAAATCTAACGTGCAATTTGGTCAACTTGGGTTTAAAAGCAACGTAAATCAACATCCTAGGTACAAGATAATGTCTGAATCCCGCTGACTGTAAAAACCAACTCTTAGCTACGTACCAATCTTCATTGGCAACTTGCATATATACGAACCAGCTTTAATATGAATGGGATAACAAGGGGTCGGGTTAGGGGGCAGCGTACCCTTCCCCACCACCTATCCCATCAGGGAGGCGGGGCAGGTATGCTCGCGGTTGCGGAATCCACGGGTTACCCATTAACCTATTTACAATAAAAAAAACAAAAAAAGAAGAATCACAAATTACATAAATTGACATCCAAAAAATAAACAACCAACAAATAAATAACACATAAATAGAAAATCAACGTCGAAGCTAATCGGGTTTGACCCACCCCATTAGTGTCGTGGGTCACAAATTGACAGGTAAAATTGCTATCCTTAAACAAGAACTCATGTTGCGAAAGAGATGTATGGTGAGCGCTGCAAAAGATAATCTTTTTCAATATAAAATGACTGCAAAATTATTATTATTATTTTTTAAAAAAAAATCCATTGTTACATATTTTTCTGCTAAGATTTAGTAGATCAATAGTGCATGATAAAGCAACCATCACACTGGTGGGCCACAAAGACTCGTCTGATATGCAATTCAGCATGCGGAGAGCTAATTATAAAGAGCGATATTTTCTCAATAAATACATTTGATAAGATAGGCTGAATAATGCAGCTTTTGAATTTTTCTTCTACTTTTAACAATTTCATGAAAAAGGGCAAGAAGCACATCAATCATCTTCCGCGCATTACGGCGATATTCAGTGCCTTAATTTTTATTTTATTATTTTGCTCTTTTTAATTTTTTAACTTTGTTTGCCTTGGGATACCACATGAATTTATTATTTGCTCCATGGTACTCGAAGCTCATACAATATTGGGTATGCGGCTGGGTTACTATTAATCTCAATTTACTAAGATTAAAACATAATTGATTAATTGTTACAAATCAAGCTCGTCATAAATATTAGCGGTGCTCGCAAAGTAATCTCTTCCAATTTAATTGAAAAAACAGTTTTCTTTCCCAATCTTTGATGTATGACTTAGCCAAAAATTGATTAATTTTTTATTGATTGTCCATGACACTTGTTTTAGTCTCATTAATCTCATTCATTAGCACGTTTCTTTTTCTGTTGTGACATATTTTCAAACCCACCTTGCAGATATTTTATGGAGGCAAATGAAGAGGTTTACAAAATGAAATTGTATGTCTTAGATTGGTCGACAATTCATGTCTAAAAGCGATAGTGATATTAAATTAATTAATAAGGGTCCTCTTTAGACATATTATTCAATCCAAATAAATAAAGGATTTTCGATAAAATAAAATAAAAATCAAAGAGTATGTGGTTATCGTTATTTCATTAAGGGAAAAAAATCTCTAAATATATTTGTGCTTGCATAAAAGCAAACAGTTAAGAAAGGGAAAAAAAATCTCTAAATATATTTGTGCTTGCATAAAAGCAAACAGTTAAGATTAACCTGAAAAACTTTGCAAAGAGCTGTAAATAATACGCAAAAGTATGGTAGTCGCATTGGTCCTTTGTTGTGGCCTCCATTTTCTGATAAACAATCACAATGTTGATTGAACTTTTTCCTATGCGACTCAAATTTCTTTTATTAGTCAAGTTGTTAAATTTTGTTTAGTTTGAGCTACAGCTAAAGTTGTGGCTTAACGGAAGTCTTTAAATGTGTTCTTTCTGTGTCCGATTAAATTAAAACTTGAAGAGTGGAGATGAGGACTGCCTACATGTGAGCAAATTTAAATTAAGAAAAACAAGAGAAAAATGCAAAGGAAGAAAAAAAAAAAGAAGAAAAAAAGATAGACAAAGGTTTTAAGCAGTTTTGAGTACCAAAAAGATTGAAATAGTTTGTTGAGTGTGTAATTTTAAAATCATTAATGAATTTATTCTCTTAGTTTCATTATTGAACCATTTAAATCCTTATCTCATTTATATGCTTGTGTTGATTTTAATTTGTTTGATTTTGTTTTTCCACAATGTTTTGGGAGCTTTCTGACCAAAAGAATAGAAGAGGGGCGTGTTTTATAAACGCACACAAAAAAAGAAAATATTATAAAGCGCAAGTAAAGACAAGGAGAATAGGAGAAAATAAAAGAAGGTTAATAAGAACCCTAGCACTCTGCTCACTTCGCTTGCTAATATTGATATTATGGGCATTATTCACATCTTCCTTTCAATATAAATATATATACGGAATAGTAGAAAATAGGCCAATATAAAAAGTTTAAGAAAGTATATAGGCTAATTTTTAGTTATAGAAATTAATAGGCCATAACTTGTTAAGTTATGGTTCATAGCTAGATAAGTTATAGATAAACTTGTCAAGTTATGGTTCATAGCCAGACAAGTTATGGACAAAAATCGTGAATTATGGACAATAACTTGTCAAGTTATGGTTCATAACCAGACAAATTATAAACAAAAATAATAATTTGGACTATTTATTAACTTATGTAAATTATTAGCCTATTAATTTTAATTCATCTCAAGTCTTGACCTATTTCTCTCTTTCCCCCATATATATATATAGTGATTAAATGTGGGAAAATTTTATCCTCTCATTTAATTGCATATTCATTTGTCTTCTCCCTTAGATCTATGATTGCATAGTAATGTAAAGTTACTTTCGTATTTATGTTCTATTATAATTAGTTTTAGAACTTAATTTGTTTATAGTTGATATTTTTATTTTGTTGTTAAGATGAAGACAATTGAGATCTCGATCACGGGAATGGCAGTAGTACAAAAATGATTCTTTGAAAGGACTCTTTTTATTTGTCAAGCTCTCTTTTCTTTTTTTTTTTTT